GCATAGAAATAAATACAATATGGCAACCAGTAATAAGGAGTGCCAGCGAAAGGCGATAATAACAACAAAGTTGCAATATGAGCTCTGGTAAAAATATGTAATGATAACAGCAAAAATTGCAATATGAGCACTGCTAAAAATGGTTGCGGAAACATTAGGTTTATAATACCCAGAAATTCATACGCAGATGTCCTCAAGCATAGCACAGTGGATAAAGGCGGTGGTTAAATCCAGTGACAGAACCCAAAGAGTGTGAGTTCAATACCGGCTAAGGCAGTGGAGATCTTTAAAAATTGACAGGAGATCACTAATAACTGACATCCATTGTACATGGAACTAGAACAGTCTGCCCCAGTGAGCGAAATAAAGGGTTCAGTTCGACATTCCAACCACCCTAACAAGAGCGGAGCGTACAACGGCCGAAATGTTGTAATAAATATGGCAACAATAGTCCGAATAATGTACATAGTACCTCATCTCAGAAATATAGACATATCGATTTTATATAGCTTAAAAGAGATTTGATATAGATTAATGTTTCTTTTAATTGTTGAAATATAGTGTTTTTGAGATTCCTGCGAAGGTATAAATAAATAAATACCTCGTACCCATCAGTGGCTACGCAGTGAGAGTCAAAAAGCTGAAATTGAAGATTTTATTCTTGCTGCACATGACGGATGTTTGCTAACTAGAAATTACCAAGCACTTTATACTGAAAAATGCTGATTCTCTGATAAATATCTTGAAACTATTGACCATCTTGTATCAGGTTGCACAGTATTGGCACCCACTGAATATAATACTCGGCATGACAGAATCGACCAATTTCTGAACTGGAAAATATGCAACTTTTACTTAAAGTAAAGTGCAAAAAATTAGTATGAACACCACCCAGATCAATTTACGGAGATAAAAACTGTAACAATTTTATAGGACTTTATAATAAACACAGACAAAATAATCAAATTAATCGGCCAGACATAGTGATTAGAAACGGCAAACACAAAATCAGTCTTCTTATTGGCATGGCAGTTCCTGCAAACTGCAATGTATCTTTGAAGATCTTGAAGAAACTATCAAAGTACAAAGACCTTGAAATCAAAATCTCAAAAATGTGGCACATGAGGATATTAACAATTTCAGTTGTAGTTGGAGCCCTCGGATTGATTGGAAAAGATTCCAGTAGACTCATTGAAGAGATTACTGGAAGCCCACGCTTTAAAGAAATACAAAACATTGTTCTCACGAGTACAGCTCACACCTTACGAAGGCTTTAACTAGGTAAAATATATATTTTTTATTTCTACACTGTTCAGTGGAAAATGTCATGATGGTCTTTCTGACCTTAAACCTATGATCGGGACCCGGAAAGAAATGAGTGTCTACCAGAAATCAAAGGAAATAAAGATAATAATAATAATAATAATAATAATAATAATAATATTGACTGCAGATTGTATTGTATCTTTCAAGATCTTAAAAAGAAAGCTATCAAAACACAAGGATCTTGAAGTGGAAATCTAAAAAATATGGTACATTAAGACATCAATAATTTCAGTTGTAAGTGAAGCCCTCGGATTGATTGGAAAAGCTTCCGATAGACTCAATGAAGGGATTCCTGGTATCCCATGCTTTAAAGAAATACAAAAAATTATACCGACCAGTACAGTTCATACCTTACGAAGGACATTATATATGTAAAATGTGTGCGATCTTAGTTTTTTTTTATGTTGTTTTTTTTTTTGTTTTTTGTTGTTTTTTTTTTACAAAAAATGAACAGTGGAAAATATCATGAATCCATTTCTGACCTTAGTTCTCTGATTGAGACTCGGAAGAAATATGTAAATAACATAAACCCAAAGAAATAACAATAATTAAGATGAATTTTTCCAATTCTCTGTCAGAAGAAAAAATTAGTTTCTTCGTGTTTCGATTAAAGCGAACCAGGAAAGTGTACTGAGTAGCGGTTAGTCAGAAATGTTTTTAAAAAATGCATAAATCTGCTCTTTCTCGGTTGCTGCATAACAACAACATCCTGGCGGTGCAAGCTGAAGGGGTCGTCCAACTGCGCACTCCGAGCACTCCGATCGCTGTTTGTCTCTATCAGAAGTTTCTAACACTTTTGCCCCTTGGTTGTGATTGAGATGTTAAAGTACTTTCATATCTATAATAGTGCCGTGGTGCTCCAGATGTTGCTGTTTGTCCCTTTTTTCACCCTGACTCGGGATAGTAGTATCAATTAGGATCCCAGCTCTGGGCAAACAGTTAACCCCAAAACTTGGGTCAGAACAATATAAAAGTATAAAAATACGCTCAGAACAATATAAAAGTATAAAAATACGACGTTAAACTACATCCAATATCAAGGCCTCTGATCGGGAGGTTTTGAGGAGTTTTGAACCACCTCTTAATTTCTGTTGCCCCAGCTCTATCCTTGTTTCGGGTTGCAGCACCAGTTAGGATCCCGCCCATGAGGAAACTAGTGTCAAAACACTATGAAAATATAAAAATAGATTTTTATAGTAAAAATACCAGCAGTACATTTTTTGTAAATATTAGCAATACATTTTTTGGAAAAAAATTACCAAGAATATATTTTTCAATATATATATATATATATATATATATATATATATATATATATATATTACAAGCTCTCGACAAAAACTCTCTTTGCAAAAATACGTCAATGAAATATGATCTACAAACTGATTTCTCACAAAGTATACACATTCTCTTCATACGAACCTATCTTAAACATTCTGTCGACATTAAATAACCCATTGAGGTGTTGATATACCGTAAAACGTAATGAACCTAAACCTAACCCCAACAAATTAAAGATCATAAAAATTTGCAGGTTGTCATGAACGCTTCAACCTAAGAAGATCTAACATTAAAAAAAGAAGTCTCATATTACAGAAGATTCTTCAAAGTCGGTCAGCTTTTGCATTGATGATGAAGGATGTGGTTAATGTCTTCCTGTTTAAGCTCTTAAAGAATGTTTGCTAGTTGCATCACAAAACCAAGTGTTGAATATATAAGAAAAAAAAAACAGCCGTTCAAATGATGGAAGTTGACAAAATTTCAAAATATACCAAGCAGACTTTATCCTGTCAGCACCGTTTTTATATCTGTGTAGGCACAACAAAGTGCCTATTTATCATTATTATTATTATTATTATTATTGTTGTTGTTGTTGTTGTTGTGAAACACACCTATTCTATAGTTAATAGACTCTCCCATCTATTATAAGTAGGAGTAGTAAGAGAAGGTCGGTCGATGTCGGACGACAGTAGTCGACAGTTAGTCGAATACGAAAGTAGTCAGCGACCACAACAAGATTACTCTGCGTAATATCTATTATATCAAATTCCTAACGTTTTGTACGTCGAACCTATTTTAGGAACGATTTAGTACAAATACAAGCCTCCACTGCGAAATAACTCCACAACAGTTGTTTGTGTGTGTATGTTAACTGTTTTGTATCCTGTAGAGCCAGGTCCAAACTATGGTCATTATTATTATTATTATTATTATTATTATTATCTTTGATTTCTGGTGTATAATCATTTCTTTCCGGGTCGCAACCAGAGACCTAAGGTCAAAAATGTTATCATGACATTTCCACTGAGCATTTTTTCAGGAAAAATTATTATTATTATTTTATTTTTTCCAGTTTTTTGATTTGCAGTATGTAATGCTTACCAAGTCTCTTAACTGAGACCAAAGGAAGGTTTTTTTCTTGGAAAACTATTCAGCGTATTGGATTTAGAAATTTTTTCATGGTATATGAGTGGTACCAATTAGCACATTCTTTTCTACCACAGATAGAGATGGGTGCCCAGGGATTTCCTTAACGTGTATATCTTAAATAATTCCTCGAACTCCTGCTATTACAGGAATGGTTTCGTTTAAATGCTAAATTTCTTACAATTTCTCTTTCCAGGTCCGTATATTTTGAAAGTTTGTCGAATTATTGTGTTGAGATATTTCATTAGATTGGATGGCTATGTCTATTAGATAGCACTTGTTTTTATTATGTTATTTTGAATTTATCTTCTGGCCCATTGTCTTGTGGTCAATATGTATAAATAAAATTCCAAAGCACTGTAGCATTTTCACTTTCCAGAACTGATGGTGTGTTGTGATTATACCATATTGCCCCATGAGAAAGTTTGCACTAAACTTTCAGGTAGAATAACTTGTCATTTATCGAAACTCAGTGCAATCCGTGCACATATCGATCATCACATCGACAACAGTCAAAATGCAACTATAATTATAAAACAAATAATATTAGATAATACCAAAATACAGTATTCAGTATTCGCTGAAGTGAACAACTCAAAATTCTAGAAGAAATTATTATACAAAATAAACAACCAGAAAGAAATGAAATAGTTTTCACCATACGCGCCGGTGTATTAAAATGAATATAAAAACATTATAATGAGTATAAAATATTTAATATATTCCATTTCCAGTGTTGACAAGTTCGATGAAACAGTTCTACACAAAAGGCCACGAATACAATAAACGTATAGTTAAATTTGAAATGTAACAATCAACAATATCCTAGGATATAGCTAACAAAACGTTTGTCTACGATATTTCAAATGTTTAGTTCTTGATAATAGCCGATTCTTGAACAAAAACAAAACAAAAGCATGAATTGTGCGGCAGTTTATTCAGAATTTAGGAAATACAGGAAAACTTGAACTTGTTTTGATTGATTGATTGATTCGTTTTTTACGGCTTATCAACCCTTTACAGGTTATTTAAAGCCAGAAAATATTTTTAGATTGTAAGATATTTTTGGAGATAATAATTATTTAGTGATACAAGTCTTACTAATTAGCCCATAGCTAGGGAGAGTAGAGATGGATTCATACCTTTCCCAATGGTGTTTGCACTTAAAGAACCCAATGGAAATTGTTTATCTTGTCTGAGATTAACAATTCCGAGCCATTATACATGACAAAACCCTCACATCCAAGCTTACAACACCAGGTATTCCCAAGCGGTCAACCATCTAGGTTTCTACTAAGATCGACGTGGCTTAACTTCGGTGATCGAACAGGAACCGGTGTTTCAACCGGATATGGCCGTAAATTTTAGATCTTGTCGGTCGATTTTAATAAAGCATGTTTGCCTATGCGTGTACATGCAGTAGCATTTGCAATCGCCTGAACGTGACGCACCCAAGAGGATAAAAAGATCGACTTCGAAGTTTCGTGAGCGCATTGCAGAAATGCTTTCAGGGCTGTTGGCTTCTTTGAAGAGTGAAAGCATTACTGCAATGAGTTCACGAAACTTCGAAGTCGGTATAGCTGTACTAACACCATTCAATTAAGTGATGAGTTTCCCTACATTAATTCTATTAACGCCCTATCCTCACCTTTTCATATCGAGCACTTTATAGCAAAAAAACTTCCTACCTAAAATGCTTTCTCACCAGCAATCTAAAGAAAAAGAGCCAGCAATTTTGGCGCCTAAAACTCTTACAATTTAATAATATATATATATATATATATAAAGGTAAAAAAAACAATAGGAAAACTGTTTTTTAGCCGACGAGTTCCATCTAATGTGGACGTTTTCAAGCCAAAAACGAAATGAATTTATTAAAACAAAGTGACAATTAACAACAAAACAAAATGTCCTTTGAAATTGGAAGAATTTAGAAAACGCTATTCTGTTCATATTGTCAAGTGAAAATTACGACAAGTATTGTCATGCGTGGAAATATTGTTTTTATTGTTGTGTTGACGGATTCAACAATTTTCTTTTGATTTCTTTATACAGTTGTGTACATTTCATTGAGAGAGTAGTAATTCTGTTAAGAAAGTAATATAGGGAAAAGCTGGGGCGTAGATTAATATTAGTATAATATTCAATGGCGGCACTCTCAAGGATTTTACTTCTGAGTGTAGCATTTTTAAAATCAAAATTGTGGTTGAATTTATTTCTATGTATGACTAGTGCATTAGCCAAGTTGTTTTTTGTGAGGTCTCTTTTGTGCTCATAAATGCGTTTTATTTTAAATTTCTGCTTGTTTCTCCAATATATTGGGAAGAACAGTTTTGGCAATTTATTTTATCAATACCTGCTTCAGAAATATTATTGCTATTAGTGTTTGAGGATCTGAGTATATCCATAATGGTTTTGGAAGTGTTTGTGATTATTTTAAGATTATTTAGATGGGATAGGTTGTTCTGGATAGTGGACGTGACAGAATTGGTCGGTAGTATTATGCATCTGTTTTCATGTGATTTATTATTGCAGATTATGTTATTATATTGTCACTTGAGATCGGGAAAGAATTTAAGTTCTAATTTTCAAAGTTGTCAGTTTCAATGCGATAAAGTGGAAAAGATGTTCCTGTGACGCGTTTGGTTCTTTATATATATATATATATATATATATATATATATATATATATATATATATGCATGTTTCATTAAAAACGACAGACAAGGTACTACAGTTGAGCTTTTTATTTAATTTTTCTTGTGTGCTGACAAGAGCTTTCTTTTCTGGACAAAGAGTGTGTAAGAACTGTCCGAATGTTCTGTGTTTCCGAGCGCTTTCGGCTATACCTTTAGCCATTATCAAGGATGGTTCAATTATCAGCTTAGTAGAGTGTGTGTTCTATGTATGTTCAGTGTGTGGTAGTGATGTTTTAGTTTCCGAATACGGTTAGCACATTGTGGCTTTGTTCATAGTTGATATTGTTAAGAGTTGGCTTTTTTTTTTTTTTATTAGAGCTTCCATTATTTTTAGTCTTTTTTGCAAGTGGATGCAGTTAATATATTAGTGTTTTCTACTAGTATGTTCCTAATAGTGTCGGGTAAATCTGAGTGTGTGTTTAAATGTGTTCTGATGGAACTGTGATCAGATAGGTGTAATGTAAGACGTCTGGATAAACATGTGGTTGTGTAGCCGATGTAATTATTTATGAGTCCGGTTTGGTGAGGAACGCAGTTCCTTAAAGGGCATTTGAACTCATAGATAATGTTCGCTCTTTGTAATTTTGACTTCGTTGGTGTGTTGTTATTTTTGAGGATAAGGTTGGCCGTCTTAAATTTTTATAATAGATAATAAGTTTGATTTTTTATCCGGGTCAATAGGAGTAGTATATTTCTTTATATGAATATGTCTTAGAGCAGATTCATCTTGCTTGTAATTAATATGCATTTGGTTTTTGTAATAAATGTGTATGTGATTTTTAGTTGTGTGTTCCCTATCATTATTACTTGCTTTGGGGAGGAATATTCTAATTTGTTGGTCTATAAGGTAGTTAGGGAAACCGTTGTTAATTAGTGTTTGTTTAACGTTGTTAAGTTCTTTGAGAAAGAGTAGTCGAGAGGATGAGTTCTGGTGGGCTCTATTTAGAAACTTTTTTATTACAGCTATTTTGTACCTAAGTGGACATTCGCTTTTGAAATTAAGGTGGCACGAGTTCTATGTTCGCTACGTAGATGATATATTCATTTTAGCTGATAACATTAAAGAAATAGAGACACTTAAGACCACATTTGAGAAAAACTCCGTCCTTAATTTTACATATGAACTTAGCCCAAAAAACAAACTACCATTCTTAGATATCCTCGTTGAACATAACAATAACACTTTCATTACATCATTATACAAAAAACCCACCAGCAAAAACTCGTGCTAAGCTGATAATTGAACCATCCTTGATAATGGCTAAAGGTATAGCCGAAAGCGCTCGGAAACACAGAACATTCGGACAGTTCTTACACACTCTTTGTCCAGAAAAGAAAGCTCTTGTCAGAACACAAGAAAAATTAAATAAAAAGCTCAACTGTAGTACCTTGTCTGTCGTTTTTAATGAAACATGCATAAAGGAAGGATTGCTGCCTAATTATACAAATATATATATATATATGTGTGTGTGTGTGTGTGTGTTTTGAACAATAAAAGTATTGAAAACTTTTTAAAATTATATTGATGAATATACATTATATATATATATATATATATATATATATATATAGAGAGAGAGAGAGATATATATATATATATATATATATATATATATATATATATATATATATATATATATATATATATATCAGTTAATACATATATAATAACCGCTGTCGGAGTTTCATACGAATAGGCAAGCAATACCTGAAAAAAATATATATCTACGTGCAATTATATGTGAGTATACGTATATCTATCTATCTGTCTCTGTCTTTCTCTGTCTCCCTCTTTCTCTCTCTCTCTCTCTCTCTCTCTCTCTCTCTCTCTCTCTCTCTATATATATATATATATATATATATATATATATATATATATCACTTCTTCTGTCCTTGTGTCCTTGAGGATATCTGTGTATGAATTTCTGGGTGTTATAAACCTAATGTCTTCAGCCACCATTTTTACCAGTGCTCATATTGCAAGGACACACGGCACAGTGGATGAAGGCGTTAGTTAGATCCAGTGACGGGGCCCAAAGTGTGTGAGTTCAATACCTGCTTAAGGCGGTGGAGAAATTGGAGAGGGGAATTAACAGGAGATAACTGATAACAGACACCCATTAGACATGGCACGTGGAACTAGAACAGTCTACCCCAGCGAGCGAAATAAAGGGTTCAGTTCGACATTCCAACCACCTGAATAAGGCCGCCGCGTACAACGGCCGAAACGTTGAGATAAATATCGCAGCAAAGATGGGGATGATAGTCCGATCAATGTAAATAGTGTACATAATACCTCATCTCAGAAATATAGACAGATAATTATTCCTTATTATTATCTTTGATCGTGTAGGGCGGTCTCTTATAAAATTTGATATTTGTCAGTTGGGTGTGTTATCAAAATTACCAGTTGAATGAAGCAACCGCTTCTTTTCCCTCATCGATATAATACGACCCGTAATCGCAGTTAAGAGTTTTGTATATATCGTAAAATTCTATTAATAAGAATCTATATATGATATTAATAAGAGATTTGCATATGTTGTAAGATAATATTAGTAAGAGATTTCACGGCAAAAATAGCTTTATTTATGTTAGTAAAAACTTTAATTATAATCTCCATAAGAAAACAACTTTTAAATACGAAGATCATTAAAAAACACAATTAAAGTAAATAGCGAAACTGTCATTTAAAATTTGAATTTTAAAGTTCAAAATGCAAATTAGTTTAATGCGGTAAGGAAGTACTGCTTATTTGAACCTGAAATAAAGCATATGTTGACAGTTGCAAATGATAAAAGCGAATTATTTTATACACTCTTTATTATAAGGCTGAGCTCTGAAGAGCCGTCTTCCTCGGCAGTACCTCACCTAGGTAGGAAAGGCTAGAAGAAATCCTTTACACCTGAAGCGTCCCCAAAAGAAGAAATGCCGAAGGAGCTGTATAATTTTTCTCCTTTTTCCGATGTACATGTTTGAAACCCTCTTGTGCCACTCCCCGAGTTGCCATAATGATATCCGCATATATTTGATGTTACGTCTTTTTTACGTAATATTTTTACACATACACAATAAATAACTTTACGTATATTTATTCAGTGTTTCTACTAGAAATACATACAGACACTGAACTTTAGATATTGCTTTATCATTATTGTAATGTCAGATTTTTAAAAATATTATTATAATTATTATTATTCACATCTTTGTTAGGCAAATTAATTCAACTGATATCACTGTTGTAATTATTAATAGAATATTCGCGAATATCTTTTTATATTAAATTTGTAATAACAATAAACATTTTCGTTATATCTTTTGCTTTATTTTTTTTTCTTTCCTCTCTTGTCTCCCTTTTAGCATCTTGGAACATTGGTTTCTATCAACAAAATCAGACTTTGCAATCAAGATGTCGTCTGCCAGTCTTCAGTTTAGACAAACGTCAAAGTTGTTCGGGACCTCCTTTCGTGCCTGTCACACCGCCACGCTGGCCTGACAGACAGGCAAGCATACCGGCAGAAAGCAGTCCATCAAAAACGGTCGCCATG